AATTTGGATCATATGTGCTTAACATACTTTTGTTAAGATAATGTACTAAGATCATACTATGCCTTGAGACCTTCACAGTGACAGTGTCTGAAATCGGCCAAAGCATCCTCAATAGTTCCAAATATGTCTAAATTTAGTTTTTTTGTTGACTTGCTTTCTCCTTTTTTTGTTTAGCTTTTTTCGTGAATTTCTTTTATGGTTTTTTGTTGTTTGTATTTACTTTTTTTTAGTGAGATTTTAAAATACTTTCACCATCCCAATTTTAATTATAATTTTTTTTCTATTTTTTTCGATAACTTTTAATTATTTGTGTATTTACATTGATATTTGATAAAATAAAATATTCTTGTGACCTCTTATTGTGTAAACCTTTTGACATAATTTTTTAAGATGCTCTTTTTTTATCGATATACAAATTTGTAAATAAAATGATTTCAAGAGATAAGAAAATTTGTCTCGTCAATTCCGATTTGTAATCAAATTTATGACGGAGGGCGTATGTTTTTTAGCTTCAATTTTTTTTAGTTTTTTAGTAGTATTTTATTTAATAGTTATTTAAAAAATTATTTAATTTATTTATATTAAAAATATGTAGAATTTAATTTGAATATAAATATGAAAATATTAAATAAAAATAAAAATAAAAAGTTAGTCATTGCAATAGAAGTGAGACACTACTAATAATTTTTTTCTTGTTTGTGTGAGACTAAAGAAAATAAGTTAGTTCGAATAAATTTAAGCCAAAAAACTATATATTTTTGTAAAAAAATGTAACTGTTTTTTTATTTGTGAAAAAAATTGATAACAAAATTAAAAAACCCAAAAACAGATTTTTATTAATTAATATTATTATTTTATATAATATATAGTCTAATTTGAATATAAATAGGTAATTATTTATAACAAAATATAAGTGTAATCATTGCAGTGGTGGTGAGACATTACAGGTGTGAAGCGAGTGAGATGGTGAGTACAATCAGTGCTGATGCAGTGCTGAGTAGCTGCGGATTTGGAGTGAGCAGCGGTGATGAGAAATTGTAGATAGCCTAATAGGGAAAAGGCTAAACCAAAAGTAAAATATGGTGAAAATACAAAAATAGGAATCTCATATTTTTATCTCCAAAATCAAGGACGGACCCACACTAGTTTGAGTGAGGTCAGTTAGAGTCACTGTGATTCAAGAGCGGACCTTCATATTGTCTAATAAAGTCAAGTGAAAGAAAAAAGGAAAAAAAAGCAATAATGTGTCTTGCATATGCCATGGAAAGCAAGTGACACGGGAAAGGTATGCGATACTTAGCAAGGCAAAAATATGACGTGGCAGGGCGTGGGAGGCAAATGCCTTGCCATTGCCACTGCTCTAAATGGCTGGGAGGCAAATGCCTCTAAACCATATGAGGCACTCGTGCTCATTTTCTTATTTTTCGTTTATTATTTGTATTTTCCCTTTTTTAAATATTTTCTATCTCTTTATATTTTCCATAGATTTTGTTTTTAAAATTTCTTTTCAATTTTTTATAATGTTCTAAAATTTTATAATTCTCTGTGTTTGAAATAAAAATAATAAAAAAATTAACATACATTACATGGAGGAAGAACACTGCGGAGCAGCGTTAACGAAGAATGAGAAGAATAACTTGATAGAATATAATGAATATCGCGTAGAACGCTTTCAGATCAAAGTTATTTCGAAATATAGAAAATATTTTAATTAGATAAGACGTTAATCAACAACATGCCTTTCGAATCGTATCTTCAACCATACCCGAGCTTCCCTATTTATAGAGATGAAAATCAATGATCAAACATGATCTTTCGCGTAAAAAATAACAAACTTTCGCGCGGTTGGGATAGAGGCAAGATGTTTTGGATGCAAACATTTGCAGAGTTTGGTCAAAATTGGTCTTTATCCATAGTCCAAGATTTTCTAATATTTTGGACTCCGTTCACGAAAATCTGAAGAATTTTCATAAAGAAATAATATCCAAAATAAAAAATTTCCCAGCTTGACCCCGTCCAGGGGCTTTGCTCCTTGGACCCCGCTACCGGGGGCTGCCGCCCCGGAACCCGCCATGAATTGTAATATCGTTGAACGAGTACACACTCTGTTCCTCCTAACTCGTTAATCGTTAGACAACGTCTATTCAAATTCTTTTTTGATTTAAGGTCTATTCAAATTTTTTTCTGATTTAAGTAAATCCAATCACACAAAATAGGCGATGACACTAAAATCACCAATAGAATTTAAGGTCTGGGGAGGGTGTGTGTACGCAGACCTTGCCCCTACTCAGAAGTAAGGAGACTGTTTCTAAGAGACCCCCGGCTTCACATGCACAAAAATATGGAAGGAAACACAATATAACACTACTACTACTATTAAACAAAAATACTGTATCATTTCTATAAAAAAGTTAAAGAAAAATCGTTATCCTTAATCCTTATCCTTAATCTTTCTACATAAAATTGTGACATGTGACACACTTATTAGACATTTTTTTACATGTCAGCACGTCATGTCATCAATAAATATTTAAAGAATTAGTTAACAAAAAACTTATTCTATGGAAATTAAATTTCGTATCTGTTACACGTAAATTCCTCAGCATAATCGTGTTTAAAAACTTTTATATCTTTATTCATTGTTGTAAAATATTAAAATTAAATAATATATTTTGAAATTGAAAAAAAGAACTCATATAAAAAACAATAATTTAAATAAATAATTTTTTTCTAAGACTCTGTTCGTTTGAGTTGTAAACACTGAATTAGATGTTGGAAGAAACTGGATAAAATTAGAAACAACTGAAAAGAGGTGGAAAAAATTATAAGGAGTTGAAAATAATAGAAAGATAAAATGTTAAAAAAATCACTCAATTTAATAAGCACTCAAATAAATATCTAAGAAAACTAATTTGGATAAAGAAAATTCTTCTTTGTCCATGTTTATGGTAGTATGTTATAAATTTGAATATCTGGTATTATTGTATATTCATCGTATGTAAATATTTTTTTAATCTAGAAGAAATTTGAAGAAACTAGAAGAAGATTGAAAAACTGAAAGGTGTTGGAAGAATCTGGAAGAAGTTGAAAAATGTTAGAAGCTAACTTTTCAACCCAAATTAACATGGCCTTGTTTTTTGTGAAGTTTATAAAAACAAAAACTTAAAAATAAAAAAGATGTGTGTGAATATTTTGAAGAAGATACCATTTTTTAAGGAAAAGTATATACAAAAATGCTAGGGTGGTGTACATTTGGGGTACACTTTTGGTGTACCCCTACTCCCCTAGCATCCCTCAAGTATATATCATTCCTCCTGATCCAAAAAATTATACTACCTCACTCTCAAAAAATAAAATATTCACATTTTAACTTTTTTTGTCAACTTTTTACAAACTTTGACTATATATTGTAAAAATATACTAAATGTGTTTTTGATATAATGAACCATTCACTTTAAGGTGTGTGTTAGAATGTCATCCCACATGGGAAATTCAAAAACAAAATAATCGGTATATAAGCTCTTGAATTGAACTAACTAATCGATTGAATTCAATATTTTAATGTGGTTCAGCCTAAGTGTCTTATAGCTCAATCCAGTTATCCACACCCAATCCTAAATTTATCATGGTATCAGAGCAGGTTTTGGTCCACCTCATTTGTTAAGGTGTCCGTCTAGACGTTTATTCCTAGAGGCCCGTTAGTCTTTAGCCCAGTTGTCCGTATGGAGTATGTACCCAACGGTCTGTGGCCCGTCTAACACGATTGCTCGTCTGGAAGTCCATACCCAGCGGCTCGTGGTCCTTTAGGTGTTGGTGCTCAAAAAAAGTCAAGGGAATGAGAATTCATTTGCTAGTGGTCAACCGGTAAAATTCAAAATGGCCCAGTTATTCACTTGAGGGGGAGTGTTAGAGTATTATCCCACATCGGAAGTTTAAGAGCAAAATAATCGGTATATAAGCTTTTGAGTTGAACTAACTAATCAATTGGATTCAATCTTTTAATGTGGTTCAGGTCAAATGTCTTATAGCCCAATCCAGTTGTTCATACTCATTCTATCAATGTGATTTTCGTATATTAAATATTTATAATAATTATTTATATACAATTATATTTATTAATAGTTAATAGAACGTTAATTATACAATTATATTATTTATATTTATTAAGAGTCAATAGAAAGTCAATTATGGAAATACATTATAAAGTCACTACTGGAAAAAAATTGAAAGGAGTTGGAATAAATTGCAAAGAGTTAAAAAAATTTGGAAGTTAATTTTTCCAACCATAAAGAACATAGCCAAATACTTTCAGAATTTTCATATATTTTGGTGCTCCAAGACTAATGTATATTTATATTCCTCAATATTTGAAGCAAAAATATAAACATGCTTCAAATCTTGGAGCAGTTATTTAAATATATGGTCTCAAAGTCATATTTGAAATATAGACTTTCTCACAATTTTCATGGGCTTACATGTAAATATTTTCTTTTTTGTAAAAGGCTCACTTCGTTTATGTAACAAATGCACTAAGGTCCATAAAATGAGCGTGGTCCAGAGAAAAACTTGTCAATGTTATTGTACGATATAAACACATTTTAAGTCATTGTTGAAACAAACTGGAAAAAGTTGAAAAAATTGAAAGAAGTTGAAAGAAACAGAAAGAAATTGGAAAAAGTTAGAGTTAATTTTTCCAAAAGAAATCATCCTCAATATAAGTAAAACATAAAGAAAAACTAAAATAGGAGTTCTTATTTTTATTTCCTAAATAAGAGTTCGCACTGTGGTAATGTGACACACTACACATGTGTATTTTACTATACCTTTTGGTAATGTTCATGATCATAACTAGTAATGTAAATATATTTAACTCCGTTATCAAGAATAAAAATACAAAACCCTTATTTTAGTATATTTTCAATATTTTACTCATATTTTAGTTTTTTTCCTTTTTTCAATCCAAAAGAATATGACTTTAGTAACAAACTCAAAAGGACTAAAGTTAGAAGTTTAGAACTTTAGTTTATACGGAGTAATTTGAAAAAAAGGTGTAAAATTTAAGGCGGAAATTAAGAGTAGAAAAGAACCAATGGAAAAGTAAGGGTGTTGAGAGGGAGGGAGCGGAACTAGATGGGATGGGAGCAGTGAAAACTAAAGAGGAGGAGTAGTAGGGAGAAAAGAAAAAAAAACCATATTCAATTTGTCATCTAAAGTGTTTGAACTTTGAATTGAATTGAACCCTCCTAGATTTTCTGGAAAGGTAAAACCGGTCCTTTCCCATTGATTCTCTCCGATTTTCAATTCAATCCTTTTTAGAATCTTTTCCCACTTTTTGCTCTCCTTCCTTTTATTTCTTTTTCTTTTCAAAAAAATAAAATAAAAAAATTCCCAGAAGTACGACTGCAATTTGCCTTCTTCACTCACTTCTACTGCTGCATTGAGATTCTTGATTTTCTTTTTTTACAGTTCCAAGAAGGCTTCTTCTTTTGTTGATTCTTGAACCCACCCATATATTTGGAAGCCCTTTTTCTTTAAATAAAAATTGGTTTCTGGGAGGGAGCAAAGGTTCAAACTTTTAGACAAGCTGAATCTCGGAAGGCATGTCTTCAAGCCCTTATTCAAGAAAGATCCACGTTCTGGGAAAGTATGAGATTCTTGCTCTTTAATAATGTTTTTTTTAATGTTATTGGTGTGTTTATTCTTGCCTGTTCTTTAGATCTAAACTGCTTCAGCTTTCCTTGAAATTTTGATTTTTTTTTTATGAAATATTTTCTTTCAATTACCCATCCTCATAAAAGCCGCATTCATTGTGAATGTTGATTTGTTAGTTGATGCATTTGGGGCATGATTTAGTAAATTAGTTGTTGCCTGATATTATATTTGTTGGAGTTGCTGGTTTTTTTGGCATTATTTTCCATTTTATACGGAGTATTTATTTGCTGTAGCTTTTGCTCCATCTCATGTTTCCCCATGGTATAAAAAGAAGAAGAAGAAGAAGATTAAATCTATTACTCAATGGCTGATGCTTTTTGAAGTTCTTGCTGAAGTATGATAAATTTTTTCTCCATTTCAGGTTATTTCTTACCCCAAGAAGTGACTTTAATCTGATTTCATCAAACATGGGGTAAATTAATGTTTGTGGAAAATGGATCTCAGGGAAGAGAGCTCGAGATTTGAACCGCCGGTTCCAACCTTAACTTCAAGAAACCCCTCGTCTTCTTCGTCAGCATTCTTTTCAGCAAATCAGTCCCCTTTCATCTCTCCTAGGTCCCCAAAAGGCCCTTTACTGCCACCCACTAATCCCAGCACTCATAGTACTGTTTTGTTGCCTGTTCCTGCTGCTCCGGGGACAGTCTTGGAAAATGCTCAATTGTCTGCAAACTCTTGTCCCGTTACGATTCATAATAATAATAATGTTAATCCCCAAAAGGTTGATATTGGTTTGATATCTTCAACCTCCATCTCCAACAGCCCGGTCTCAACTTACAATGTTGAATATGAATGCGAAGAACGTACAAGGAGGAGGCAAAGAGGAGGAAAACAACCAAAGATGGATAGTGCGTATGAAACTTGTGTCACTCCAACCTCAACATCCTCTCTCTCAAGTAGAGTAAGGAGCTGCGACGTGTACATAGGCTTCCATGGGAGGAAACCTTTATTGTCAAGATTCACGAATTGGCTTCGCGCTGAGCTGGAGGTTCAAGGGGTGAGTTGCTTTGTGACAGACAGAGCGAGGTGTAGAAGTTCCAGGAAACATGGGATGATCGCGAGAGTGATGGATGCTTCCGCATTAGGTGTTGTCATCTTGACCAGGAAATCATTCAGAAACCCTTTCACCATCCACGAGCTTCAGTTTTTCTCGAGCAAGAAGGTTCTGGTTCCCATTTACTTTGACTTGAGGCCGGATGAGTGTCTGGTCCGAGACATAATTGAGAGAAGAGGGGAGCTATGGGAGAAGCACGGCGGGGAGCTTTGGGTCCACTACGGTGGGCCCGAGAAGGAATGGAGAGATTCCGTGAATGCCCTTTCGCGCGTGGATGAGTGGAAACTTGAGGCTCATGATGGGAAGTGGAGAGAGTGCATTCTAAGGGCAGTTACCCTTTTGGCCCTGAGGTTAGGAAGGAGAAGCGTTGTCGATCGGCTGACCAAGTGGAGGGAGACCTCAGAAAAGGAAGAGTTCCCTTTCCCGCGAAATGAGAGTTTCGTTGGCAGAAAGAAGGAACTTTCTGAACTTGAATTCAGGCTTTTTGGGGATGCCAGTGGGGATATGGAGACACGGTTTTTTGAACTGCCCAGACGAAAGAATCTCATGGTTTTTGGTAGGAGTAGAAGTAGGAGCAGCTCGTTCGATGAAAACAGAAGGAAGAAGGGAAAGGAACCCATGGTGTGGAAGGAATCAGAGAAAGAGATTGAAATGCAGAATGCAGATTTTGCCTGTCAAAACGTGCCAAAAACAAAGAGTGCCCGGAAAAATGGAAGGCGAAAGAGGTCAATGAAAGTAGTATATGGCAAGGGGATCGCGTGTGTTTTGGGGGAATCCGGAATAGGGAAAACAGAACTGCTTCTTGAGTTTGCCTACCGGTTTCATCAGCGCTACAAGATGGTTCTTTGGATTGGGGGGGAGGCGAGATTCATCCGGCAAAACTACTTGAACCTTTGGCCGTTTTTAGAAGTTGATGTGGGGGTGGAGAGCTCCCCTGAGAAGGGCACCCGGGCGAAGAGCTTTGAGGAGCAAGAAGAGGCCGCTATTGCTAGGGTCCGCAAGCAGCTCATGCGAAACATACCCTTCTTGGTGATCATCGATAACTTGGAAAGCGAAAAGGACTGGTGGGACCGCAAGCTCGTGATGGATCTTCTCCCCCGCTTTGGGGGAGAAACACACGTCATCATCTCCACGCGTCTCCCACACCTCATGAACCTTGACCCCATCAAACTCGGGTACCTCTCCGAAATAGAGGCAATGTCCTTGATGATGCAGGGTGGTGGGAACACTACTAATAGGGACTATCCAATCACGGAAATCGATGCCCTTCGAACCATTGAGGAAAAGCTCAAAAGATCAACCTTAGGGCTTTCAATCATCGGGTCGATCCTCTCGGAACTTCCCATAAACCCTGCCCGATTGTTGGATACCGTAAACCGTATGCCTTCCGTGGACATAGAAAACCATCCCCCGTTCGGGCAAAACGTCTTCCTTTTGAAACTCTTCGAGGTTTGTTTCTCCATATTTGACCATGCCGACGGTGGGCCGAGAAGTTTGGCCACTAGAATGGTTTTGGCTAGCGGTTGGTTAGCACCTTCACCTGCCCCGGTCTCATTCTTAGCCTCGGCCGCTCATAGGATACCCGAGAAACACCCGCGCCAAAGGAAGTGGAGAAAACTCATAGGCGCCTTAGCTTGCGGACTCGCCCAAAAGAAATCCCAATCAGAATCATCGTCCGCTATGCTCCTTAGATTCAGTGTAGCGAGACGCTGTACCAAGGAAGGGTACCTCCAGGTCCACGAACTGGTCAGGCATTACGCCCGAAAGAAAGGATTCGCCGACAGGCGGCGGGTCCCGCAAGCCACGATTCAAACCGTGATCACCCACGGGTCGATATACCATCAACCCGAACACATATGGGCGGCGTGTTTTCAGCTCTTCGGGTACGGGTGCGACCCGATGGTGGACGAGCTCAAAGTGACGGAACTTTTGTACCTCGTCAAGCAAGTGGTGACGCCGCTAGCGGTCCGGACGTTCGTCACGTTCTCGCGGTGCAGTGCGGCGCTGGAACTGCTCAGGCGGTGCACGGACGCGCTGGAGGCGGCCGACCAGGCGTTCGTGACACCCGTGGAGAAGTGGCTGGATAAGTCGCTGTGTTGGAGACCGATCCAGACCAATGCCCAACTCAACCCGTGCCTCTGGCAGGAGCTCGCGCTGGCTCGGGCGAGCGTTCTCGAAATTCGGGCTAAGCTGATGATGAAAGGAGGGCAGTTTGACGTGGGAGATGATCTGATCAGAAAGGCCATCTTTATCCGAACCTCAATCTGCGGGGAGGACCATCCGGACACCGTTTCAGCTCGGGAAACACTCGGCAAACTCACGAGGCTGCTTGCTAATCTTCAAACCCATACTTCTTCTCTATAGAAGTTTCATTTTTGTTGTAGCTATATATATATATATATATATATATATATATATATATATATATATATATATATATATATATATATATATATATATATATGTTTCTTTAGATTATATTATGAATATATTTCATTTTCCTCTCAGAAGAACAAGTTAATATAGTTCCAAAACTTAGAGAAATTCATTTTTTTTAGAGGATATCTTTTCCCATTGCTCTCATCTTCATTCTTGCGGTGTTCATCATTTTCTTAAAAGGGTTGTCTACTTGTCTTTAGATTTGCATGAGAAAAAAATGTTGAAACATGCCGGATAAGAGAAAGTGTGAACTTGTTCTTGGAACCAAGATTAATTAAAAGAGAATGCATACGGTAATCTATTGGAAATCTAGGTGGGGTGATAACGCTGCTTAGGACGAATGTGAAGAAACTTGATAGGCTAACCGAATAGTGTGATTGCTTGCATATTAAAGTTATTTTGAAGTATACCAAAATACGATAAGACGTTAGTATTTAGAATGAGTATGAAAGCTCCATTGTATCCCAAACATATTCTGAGACTCATGTGTAAAGCATGAACTGAGCGGACGCATCTGTTGACAAAAACATCACAACTCTATGTAGAACATTCAAATGAATGCAACAAGGATAAATGGAGTAAATTCCATAATTGGTCCTTTATAATAGGGTGATTTCCCTATTTAGTCCTCTATTATCAAATATTACCCCAGATGTCCTTCTTTTCTGTGTATCTTTCCACAAATAGTCCTTTTTTTGATCTTCTATCATGTTGGAGTTAATTTGAGGACTAAAAGTGTAATTTCACGATGATAATATATCTTTTTTGTCATACACAATTCTAAAAGTTGTTCCGTTTGTGTCGTTTGTGAATTACATTCGCTTTCTACTACAACCATAGTCTACAAATGTGGTCTTCCGTCGGAATCCTAGTCCACTATCATAGTCATTATTTTTGTGTTATCCATTTAATCAATATCAGAACACGTCACTAGACATAATGTTGATGTCAAATTATACTTTTAGCCTTTAAATTAACACTCACATGGCGGAAAATAAAAAAAGGAGCATTTGTGGAAAGACACCCTTAAAAAAGGACTACGAGGGTAATATTTGATAATAGAGGACTAAATATGGAAACCCCCATGTTATAAAGGACCAATTATGGAATTTACTCGTGGTTTTTTATGCGAACTGTCGTGTTTATCGCAGAACATTTGAATGTTTAAGAGTAAACATTTGAATGTGTCAGATCGTTTAGCAAGGAATGCCGAAGATAGATATTGCATCCAAATCTATAGTCTTATACGTTCAAATGTACATAACTTTAAACCCTGTTTACGAAAACCCAAATGATTTTCATGAAGCAACTATGTCTAAAATAAAAAAAATTCAAGCTTGCAAGTGACAAACTAACTACCTCAACCAAGACTCTTCCCTTGAACCCTACCTGGGGTTGCCTCCCCTTGGACCATGCTACGAAATTTGTAATATCGTTGAACGAGCTTGCGCTCTGTACTACTCAACTCGTTAACAATGCCTATTAAAATTTTTGTCTGATCTAAGTAAATTCAATTATAAAAATAGTCGGTGATGTTAAAATCACAAACATAATCTTTATCTTTATACGATTCCTTCATTTGACAACAACATTTGTTATCATTTAATGACAACAACACCAACGATGCTTCAGTCGAAAAATTAATGGTTGCTACTCCTGAACCCCGCTGCCCCCATCCCAGCACCCATCCCCAAAGCACATAAATGCTAAAGTGTTACAGTAAAATTTTGACATTTTGGGGAGGGGACAAGGGGTCGTTGGAGGGGGGGGGGGTTAGCGATCAGAACAAACAATTCTTCGATTGAAACATCATAGGTGTTCTTGTCATTCTCCAAATATTAGGACTCGTAGTAAAAAGAATCGGGGCTATCTTTATACGGAGTATATATAAAGATACATTAAATCAAGGTACATGAGCTGTGCCTATTTTCTAGAGGAGTATAAAATTTTTCTTTCTAGAGGAGCATAAAAATTTTCTAGGCCTACAACCACACAATTAAGCTTTTAGTTGAATTAGTTCTTTGACATGGTATCATTGTCTTATTGATGAAGATGTCACAAGTTTGACTCTCACCATCTTCCACTTTTTTTTAAAAAAATTAAGATTTCACGTGCAAGGCTCGAAGTTGCCACGTCTGCACGTGAGGCGTGTTAGATTATAAATATCTTTTATCGGTCACAATCACAAGCTTGAGGTTATGGTTGACTTGGTTCTTGTAGTTGGTATTGGAGCAGGTTTTGGCCTACTTTCTGCACCCCCTGAGTCTTTGACCCAGTTGTTCGTATAAAAAAATGCTAAACTAAGAACAAAATATGAAGAAAGTACCAAAATAAGAACTCCACAATATGTGACAGTGCAAACTTTTATTTTGAGAATAACAATATGAAACTCTTATTTTGAGCATAAATGTTACTTCGCATGTTTTACTTCTATATGAGGTGATTTCTTTATGAAAAATGACATGTAGTTCATTTAACTCGATTATTTATCTAGAAGTCCATACCCAACGACTCGTGGTCATATAAATGTTGTCATCGCATTCTCAAATATTTGTTTCAAAGGGGAAGAGAGCCAATTTGCAAGTTGTCAACCAATTAGATTCAAAATGACCCGATTGTCTAATTGTGGGAGAGTGTTAAAATATCTCACATCAAAAAAATAAAGACATAATAAGTTTATAAGCTTTTGAGTTCAGATAATAACCAATTGAATTTAATCTTTAAATGTGCTTTAATCCAAGTATCTTATGACCCAATCAAATGATATTATCCCTTCTAAATTCTTGAGCATCATTAATTCATTATACTCATACCAATGATCACTTTATTGGAAAAAGTAACATTCCATTAACTTGCACCGGACATTGTTTGATGTGACATTGATAGTTGAAAAAACATTTTTTAAATACAATCACTCCCCTCTTCTTTCTCCTTGAATAACCAAAACATAACTTTTGAATACTTCTCTCACCTCTTTTTAACAAAAATGACATCTAATCAAGTTTCGAGTGCTTTATGGACAAAGCTTGCAAATATTGACAGGGACCATAACACGGTTGCCATCCACGTCCACACCGTTCGTGTCTCCGAAATTGCTTCGTTTGGTAGAACTGGAGAATCCATGGAGGTCGTTTTCCACGACGATAAGGTGTCCTTTTTTCATATTACACATTCTTGGAAACCCATTTTATCTGTTTGCTTCCATTTCGTGGTACACATATCCATTTTATTTCACACAAATTAAACTTTTATTAACACATCGTAAGACACTATGATGAAGAATAATATGGAATAATCTTATCAAGAACATACAACGTAAAAAAACTGATGTTCGTGAACAAAAATACAATCCATGAATTGGATTCATGTTCAAATTTTATGATGTATATTCTCCATATGTGACAGGGTACGAGAATTCATTGCCAACTCAAGAATATGATTTCTGCACTTTTAGAGCATGGTGTTTCTTTAATCATCTCATCACATCCTACCCTGTCAAGTAGTTATTTTGTGTTTCTATTGGCTGTAAGAAAACTTTAACCTACGTATGGGAGGCCTGTGTCTAATGTTCTCTATTTTGTATAGTTTGCACTGAAACAATTTGGGTATCATTACTTTAACCTAGGTTTTAATTTGTGGTTTAATCCTATCTTGCCATTGAATTATTTTCTTATCCTTTCTTATTCGGAAATGTTGGCAGCAAATTTTTTTCGGATGGCCGTGTTTGGAAAACAGCATTTGGGATAGCTTTTGGCATCTTTGACTGACTTTGGCTTTTTTGACCAAGCGAACCGCTAAAATCATTGTTTGGCTAATGGCTTTTTCACTTGGCATTTTGATCCGAAAAACCAAAATTTGAAATGCCAACGTGAGTAGCATTTGGACATGGCGGTTAGGAAAAATATTTTTTTAAAATCATTTTTGTTGAAAGATATTTTATAATATATGTAAAAAATAAAAATAAAAGTTAAAAAAATTAAATACGAAAAAATAAAATGAAATTAAAAAAAATTATATTTATAATTCATTAAAAAATTTATATTTATAATTTATTATGAATTAAATGAAATTAAAATTTAATATTCCATATAGTAAAGATTTAATTTTTACATGTAAAAAAATGAAAAATAAATATCATGTCTAAACACACACACACACACATATATATAATTTTTTATTTAATTTTTTTAATTAAAAAAAATATTTATGATATGATATTTAAAAAAATTGTAAAATAAAATATACCATAAATGGAGGGATGTCCTTTTATGTAATTTTATTTACAAACAGCTAACTATAAACAGCTAAAGTTGCCAAACACTTAAAACTTAACAGCTAACTCAATCAGCCATTCAAATCAGCTAACATAAACAGCCAACAGCCAACTGCCAACTGCTAATATCCAAACAAGGCCACAATGTGATTGAGGTAAAACTTACATTGAACCACAAACTCATTAACTTTGATTGAGCCAGAGACTCATTTACTATTTGGGTATCTATAACATAACCAACCTAATGATTACTACACTTTTAAATCGAATTTAACCTTCAAAAGTGGTTAGTTGTCTACAACATGAAAAATATATATTTAATTTTTTGAGGCTCAAGGAAAAGTGATTGCATAACATTAAAGCTGATACATAATCCGACGGAAAAAAAATTAAAATATTCATATATTTTCTTAGATGTTTAATTTTATTTTCTTATGCCGTTATGTGAACTATAACTTTCATTTCATTTCATTGAAAAGTGATGCATACTGACACTAACCAATCTCTAAAACTTAATGATACTAATGTCAAGCTATACATACATTGAGGCACGAACCACTTAAGTGCTTCATTAGGTATTACAAAAGCAAACATTTGATTACTACGTATTCGCATAAAAAATATTGTGCTTTTCACTTTGGGAAGTATAGAATTATATCAGTTTTTGAGGATCA